TAGACAAAAGTACAAAGCAGTGAAAATCATTAATAGGCAATCGTTCGATGGGCTGGATCGCACAAATCGCATGATCGCACCGGCTAGCCTGATGCGCGTTGCTATCTATTTTTGTTAATTTCACTGTTGAATCCATGTTGCATTCGGTGCGAGCTCCGTGCTCATCCGCCGTACAGTAAAACTGCGACAGCTTCATACACTACTTTCTGTTCTGTAGGTATCAGACAGCAGCAGCAGCATAGCGGTATTATGTCCAGCAGTGAATGCAAAAAATTTGCTGAGCAACAGAAAAGCTCGATAGCGTGCAGCACGAAGTGAGCACCGCAGCGTAACAGCGGTCGGTTATGACTACTTCTGAACTAGCTATCACTGCTAAAATTCCATGAATAACGAGGAGCAACGTGGCGGCGATGGAGCGGATGTGCTTCCTCCAGCTTTGTTTGCGCGACCAAGCGTGCGGCGCGGTTCCGTCTTCTCGGATCTGCTTACAATATTCCGGCGGAATAGCTCCCATCCGCATCGCCTTTTCCATGCCGCTCGGCCATCGGTGAGCACATCCGATGAGCAAACGGTGCGGTAAGTTGCTATTTCTGTCCAACTAGAAAGTTCAGTTGCTAGAACGAGCACGGAGGTGCAGTTACAGCCAGTGAGCTTGAAATAAAACTTCAAAAGCGCTGAATATCACTCGCAATAGGTGGCGCCACGAACCCTTACACTGACAGTTCAGGTAATCTGGTTTGGATGCATCAGGCACTGGCCCAGTCAACATATGACTGTTGCGAGGTTTGGCTGCGTTCAGTAAGAACATTGCTTCCTTCCACTGAAGAGAAAAGTCCTGTCCTTAAAATTTTTCAGGCAGCAGTTTCCATCCCTTAGGCGTCTTAACAAGTAGTGAGTCCCCGACTTCAAGCACACGTCTTTGCTTCGTTGTCGGCTTCATGCCAACTGAAGGATTAGCTGGGGGAAAGTTGCTTTAATTTTGTGAAATCATTTACCGTCTGCATGGAACTTGTGCATCTGAGCTGAGCACCTACGATACTCACCGCTGTATTCGACTTAAAGATATTAAATTCAGTCTCGAGGCACGCCTGAGTCTCGCATTGTGTGCCAGTTAATTTCCAGTTTTGGACAAATTTGGGCTCCATTTACACTGCAACCAGGCTAATCAGGGAGCTGCAACTTTGTGGAAATGTTGAATGCTCATGTGCAAGTCTGAAGCATAAAATTAGCGTTTGTTTTTTTCGTACTACCTGCTCACACACGTATCAATTTTCAAGTTTTTATGATCTTTCTCGTTCATTAATAGAGATAAAAAGCAGTAATTTTATGAGGGTACTGGCATGTCTTGTGCACACACAAAAAAAGCGAAAAATCAGTTTTCAAATTACTGAAAAAATCAACTTGCCCTAAAAGCCAAAAATGAACTTTCGTAATTGTTCAAGTCTTGCGTACGGATATAGCGAACTTGAGGATACATTTTGCCAACAGTGCTAGTCCGATGATGCAACATTACCTTCCCAGCCAGCACCTTTTTCCTTTGCATCCAAGAAAAAGCCAAAAACAACCAGCGTGTTAAACTGTAACGTATTTTTCAGTAACCGTTCACTCTGTTTAACCATCTGACCGCTTCGTATTTAACGCAAAAACGCATAATCGGACCGGTAGGTCTGGTGTGTCAATGAATAGGCTCTCATATTGTTATTTTATGCGCTTTCTTCAAGGCAGTAAAGAGAGTACTTATTTCGTATTGCCGAAGACGTCATCAATTTAGGTGGTGAGAAAAGTAAGTAGGATGGCAGAAGCACTTATTCTTTCTGGACGTCATACTTCCATAAATGTTAACAAAGCATACTCCCGTAAGTGTTAGGAATGTTATTTTCACATTAATTGCCGAAGTTTCTGGCATTTTGTTGTCATAAGGGTTAAAAACTTGCATGAAAAAAATCCTTGCAAAATGGTGGCTGTTTTTTTGCAGAGAGACCGAAGCATTCTTGGAACCAAATGCAGCTGGGCAAGGCCAAGGCCAGCAAGACGAGGAGCCAGAGGAGGATGGTAAACC